TTACCAGTAATTCTAAAGGAAATTTGTACCTTATTGTATGTTGCTTAAAAGGGAATTCTACTGTTATTTTCCTGAATGTTTTTCCATCCCCACAGAGATTGCGCCTGTTGTGAATTGTGACCACTCTGCAATGTTGTATGTGAGAATAGATGACATGTGAAATATTTTATTCATTCTCCTAGCTACCTCATATCAGAACCTCTTCACCAACTTATAAAACCCAGGGGCCCTCATTTGAAATACTTTAGTGAAATCTTTCTACTTGTGTATGGGGTTAAAAAGGTAACTATTTCACGCCTTCATTTTAACAGTTACTAATTAACATCTTTTACTGCAAAATATTTATCCGATTACCTTCTCAGGCCTTAATGGCAATCTATGTGTAGACAGCCAAGCAGTTCCCAGTTCCTCCGCCTCCGCTCTCCCCTTGATCCCAGCCCTGGATTGAAAGTCCTATTTTTAAGCCTGTTTCCTTTGAGTTGTTTTTCCTTAATATGTCACTTGCGTTTGACTGACATGCTTGTCGAAGGTACCAGAGGCTTTCACTGCAGAGCCTGCTAAACTTTAAAGGCTGGTTTCTCTCTTCAAAGGAATGGAGTCACATGAATAATGGTCCCCCCAGGAGCCGGGACTGTGGGGTTTGACAACCTGGCAGGGTTCGGGCCTGTCTCCCTCCAGCCGGGAGGCCCAGGCCTCTCAAAACTGAAAGCTCCCTCCTGGGTAGCAGCTGCCGCCCAAGTGTGTATCAGTGTGGACACCGAAGCAGGATGAAGTGTAACAAAACGAGAGCAGAGCTGAAGAGAAGAAAGGATGATGGCTTCTGGCAAATATATGAAGACATTGCACTTCCTTAGTTTACAGAGGGAATCTTAATTGTTGAGAATATGAGTGGAGTATCCCCATATTGAAGATGAATATGAGTGGAGTATTCCCATATTGAAGAAGAATATGAGTAGAGTAGCCCCCATATTGAAGAAGAATATAAGTAGAGTATCCCCCATATTGAAGAAGAATATGAGTAGAGAATCACCCATATTGAAGAAGAATCTGAGTGGAATAACCCCCATATTGAAGAAGAATATGAGTGGAGTATCCCCATATTGAATGAAGAAGAATATGAGTGGAGTACCGCCATATTGAAGAAGAATATGAGTAGAGTATCCCCCATAGTGAAGAATATGAGTACAGCAGCCCCCATATTGAAGAATATGAGTAGAGTAGCCCCCATATGAAAAAGAATCTGAGTGGAATATCCCCCATATTGAAGAAGAATATGAATAGAGAATCACCCATATTGAAGAAGAATCTGAGTGGAATAACCCCCATATTGAAGAAGAATATGAGTGGAGTATCCCCATATTGAATGAAGAAGAATATGAGTGGAGTACCGCCATATTGAAGAAGAATATGAGTGGAGTAGCCCCCATATTGAAGAAGAATATGAGTAGAGTAGCCCCCATATTGAAGAATATGAGTAGAGTAGCCCCCATATGAAAAAGAACCTGAGTGGAATATCCCCCATATTGAAGAATATGAATAGAGAATCACCCATATTGAAGAAGAATATGAGTGGAGTATCCCCATATTGAATGAAGAAGAATATGAGTGGAGTACCGCCATATTGAAGAAGCTTTCTACTAATCCCAGAAGACCGCTGTGGTTCCATTGTCTGATTTGGGAAGTCAGATATTCACCTATCTAATTGTAGAAGAATGGGATGGGATGCAGTGGATTTAATAATTGTAAAGGGAAAATGTTTATCTTTTGAGGAAAATCCTGAAATTGGTGTTAATAATTGAGTGCTAGGAAGAATAAGAAATTGCTTTTGATGTCTAATAAAATTGAAAAAAAAAGTTTTTATATCATATAGTTAAATTTCCCACATTGGTACTTACGAACTTTATGGATTTTGATGGTACTGTTATTAAATTTTCATCTATCACTACTACATTCCCACTTTCTTTCTTTTTTTTTTTTTTAATATATTTTATTGATTTTTTACAGAGAGGAAGGGAGAGAGACGGAGAGCCAGAAACGTCGATGAGAGAGAAACATCGACCAGCCGCCTCCTGCACATCCCCTACTGGGGATGTGCCCGCAGCCAACATACATGCCCTTGACAGGAATCGAACCCGGGACCTTTCAGTCCACAGACCGACGCTCTACCACTGAGCCAAACCGGTTTCGGCTACATTCCCACTTTCTAAGGCTGATAACTTGATTGTAAATAACAATAGCAAAAACTAAGACCCAGATGGTCTTTTAGCATTACAGTTTATTTCACCATCTAAAAAGGCTGGAAGTTGAACTAAATGTTATGTTATCTAGAGACCAACCATTCCTTTCTAGCTTTGAGTATGTCTTTTTCCATTTAATAATTTGTGTAACAAACATAGGTAATGAAAAGAAATATTCCTACTTTATTTAGCATTGTAGTCACTATTGATGTTGTAATATTTAACAAATGAATCGAAAGAATTCAGGGCACACCGTGTGATTTCTAAATCATCAGTAAATATTAGCTAATTATATAAATGAGTGTCTCCAGTGTTTTAACAAATAACAAGAATTGGTTTGTGGAGAGACTCTTTCTCACCAACAGACTACTTGCTCCCTGCATAATTTTGTGGGATGAAAGCTATGTTTTTTAACAGATAAACTTTAGCATGTGAATACTGGTAATGAAATATTTACATGTGACTACTGTATTGGCTATTTAAAGAGATATGATTTTTATAAATTGTGATTTCTTCCTGAGCCATTTCTGGAATAACTAGAGGGCATATTTTTGGGAAAATAAAATAATGCCCATACTTGATTGTTTGCTAGGAGTGAACATTTTGATCTGATGTTTAGAAATTGCTGCATTGTATTTTTATAAAGAATATTCTCCTACCCTCAATTGTAAATTTTTAGAAAGAGTTCTGTAAGAATGTTTCTTGACATTTTCTAATACTGTGAAATGCCCACTAATAAGCCATCACCGTAAGTACATGCTTTCAAGCTTAAAATGTACTGGCACTCCAGCATAGCACTACTTCCCACAAGCTGAAATCTCTATTAAAGTCATTTGTCAGATTTTCAGAAAGGGCGTCTCGTGACTGAAGTGGCACAAGGTTCCCGTTGTAAGAGCTCTGTACCCCTGAGGCCGTCCAGTGACATTGACCCTGAGAAGATCATCATGCATAGATTTCACTGTTGCTTAATTTCACTTAAAAAAAATTGTAACTGTACCTATTTGCGCATCTTTATTTTGTTTTTTATTTTTTTAAAAAAATATATTTTATTGATTTTTTACAGAGAGGAAGGGAGAGGGATAGAGAGCTAGAAACGTCGATGAGAGAGAAACATCGACCAGCTGCCTCTTGCACACCCCCTACCGGGGATGTGCCCGCAACCAAAGTATTATACATGCCCTTGACCGGAATCGAACTTGGGACCTTTCAGCCCGCAGACCTATGCTCTACCACTGAACCAAACCAGTTTCTGCTGTTTGAACATCTTTAAAAGTAAAACAAAAATTGGCTTGAAATAATAGTATAGGATATTTGCTTCTATTTTTTTTTTTTTTTTAAGGACCATGTAGTACTAGGTAGATCATGCAAAGTCATTTAAATATCCACATTGGCAACTATAAATCTGAGTTCCTTGCAGCAATTGGATTGAACTTAGGCTTTATATATAAGTCTGATTTCTGAGAAATACATACTCTGATTATTTCTGATGGGTGAAAGCTTACATTTGTATCGTGGGGGTAAATTAGTTATAGATACTGTTTTATTGTGTTCAGTTGCATTGTTTCCATCAGGCAGTTTATCACACGGGTGCATGTGAAATTTCTCCATTTATTAAATTTCAGATTATGTATTTCAAACCCGTGCAGGATTCTAAATATTTTTTCCCATACGTATAGCTTCAGGTAAACAAGCAATTTTAGCCCCGAAAATAGCTTCTGCTTCTGTCAACACGCTGTTTATTCTTTCTCTGAGATAAAAAGTTCAGTTTTCTGATATTTGTACCAAGATAAAGTCAGTAAACAAGATTAATACAGTGTGGAAAAGGTTGTCAGCAGCCCTGGCAAAGGAAATAAGTTGCCTGTACATAGAACACACTGTAAACTGAATAAAAGTGTCAGGTCCACCAGGAGATAATGTGATCATGAACCCTTAACAAAGCATGACATGGGCCCGGCTGGCTTTTCTGGCAGCTACGGTGCGGAGAATGGATTACTGCGTCCCAGGGATACCCTCTGGAGGAGCGTGAAAACCGCATTTGGAGACGGATGCGGGATGGAGCCCTGGAGAGGAACCACGTGTTGACCAGTGATGCTCAGACCTCTGGGTTGTTAGTGTCTTGGACTGAGCACGTTTGCAATATTTGCATTGCTTGGGACTGCCGACTGTGTGCTGGCATCCTTGTTACCCAAGTGATCCAAGAAGGAGTACATATTTGAAAATGTTAATTTGGGTCTTTCTCTCCCTAGGCATGCCTTTTTTTAAGTCTATACTCTAAGTGGCACTTCTGTAGTTACAGGGGTATTGCATTTTTATTACCACGGAGTATAGCCAAGGCCTTTTGATGTAAGTTTCTGTCCTGTTGATTGTCATGGTGGGTTCATTCTTGCATGGTGTGGCTGATGTTCTCTTTGAGAGCCTTGGGTGTAGGTTTCATTATAAAAATGCTCTTGACCCTTTCATTCTTTATCTGATTTATAAATAAAATATTGTTCTCTTAGGCGCCATTACATTTTGTTGTGTGTAAATACACAGATAATTCCTAACTTTGTGGCAAAGCTTTACGAAGTTTTATATTTAGGAATGAATGACGAAGACATTGATCTGGGAGTACCCTTTGCTCTGGGAGATTTTGTTCAGATGTTGAGACCTAATATCAGATTGTCCAGTCTAGAGCGGATGTGCACAGGTGCACTTCTCTCCATCTCTGTCTTTCTATAATAGAAACGCCCCTCTGACTGTTTCCTGTTTGAATTCTCCTTGCAGGGGACCGCTGTGGGGCCAGGCAGTAACAAGAGGATGGTTCACTTCTCCCCGGATTCTCACCACCACGAGTGAGTGCCCGCATCTTTCTTTGTGAAAAGTGGTAGCCATTGCTGGCGAAGGCGGTTTCATTTGGTCCTTCCTTAAGAAAGAGTAATATCATATACCCATGAAAGAGGTGCAACAACCATTTCAATGCATCCCCTGGAGAAATTTAAATAAAGGTTTTTTTTGTACAGTCCTTCTTTTATTTGTGGTGGAATTGGAAATTCACATGTTATTCGGAAACATTTAAATTCTGTCACATGAAGTAGAATCAAGCTCTTCTCCTTCATTCGGTCTGAATTGCTAACGTGAGGACTAAGTGACTTTTTCTCCCGGTCTCTGCTCCTGTCCAGCATCAGCTGCGAGGCACCGTAATGTATTTCCATTTAGCAACAAAAGGAAGAGACTCATTCACTACATAATTCAAAAAATTAAGTACTTGAGCTTTGACTTGGATGAATTATTGGGTAAATTGCTAGGTGCTAATTCTATTTCTAAACACATCTTTGTTGGAAGAGCTTAAATACATTATATACTTTGGCTCAGTCCCATATGTCTCCTGTGGAGTTGGTTGAACATGAGAAAGGCCATAAAGTATGGAAAGACATGAATTAATTATTGAATTTTTTTCTGGCAGCTAATCATATTAGGACCCATTGGATTCTATTTTTTAAATCCATTCTTTAACAAATATAAAATTTATAGTGCAAGGATAGCTTATTTTATATAGATTAATATAAGTATAATTTATGTGCTGTAAAATATTATTTATGTAGATAAAATTTCATATAGCTATTCGTTTTAATAGCTTATTTCCTTCATTTTTATGATTCTACTAGAGGGTTGGTGCATGAAATTCATGCACTCAGGGGTGGTCCCTGGGCCAGGATTGGGAGAGGGCACAGGCCAAGTTGAGGGACCCAACCAGTGCATGTTTGGGGCCGGGAGGGATGCAGGTGGTTGGCCAGCGCAGGAGGGCTCCAGGGTGAGATTAACCCATCTTGTCCAGTCCCAATCAGCCAGACTCCAGCATCAAGCTAAGCTATCAGTTGGAGCGTCTGCCCCCTGGTTGTCAGTACACATCATAGCGATTGGTTGACTGGTTGATTGTCTGCCCCCTGGCAATCAGTGCATGTCATAGCCAGCAGTTGAGCAGCCTTAGCCTATCATTACCATATTACACTTTGATTGGTTAAATGGATGACCAGACACAGCATATTAGACTTTTATTATATAAGATTATATAGGACTAGTGGCCCAGTGCACAAAATTTGTCCACGCGCAGGGGTGGTGTTCCTCAGCCCGGCCCGCACCCTCTTCAATCTGGGACCCCTCAGGGGATATCCGACAGCTGTTTAGGCCCGATTTCAGGATCACCCCTAACCACCTCTGCCTCAGCCCTATCACTATGGCTTTGTCTGAAAGTTCTCCGGATCTAATTAGCATATCACCCCTTTATTAGTATACAATAGAGTCCTGGTGCACAGGTGGGAGCAGGCTAGTCTGCCATAAAAGGGGTCCTGGATTAGGGTGAGGGTCTCTTGGAAGGCAGGGCTGGCCTGGGTGAGGGGCTGTAGCAGTTTGCAGGCCGGCCACACCCCCATGGGTGTGGGGGGAGTCTCTGCAGGGGGGCATGGCCAGCCTGGGTGAGAGGCTGAGAGCCGTTTTCAGGCTGGCTATGGCCCCATGGGGGTGAGGATCCCCACTGGGGGGCTTGGCCTCCTGGAAACTGCCTCCAAACAGCCCTCAGCCCCTCACCCAGGCCGGCCACGATCCCCTCCCAGTTGGGACCCTATGATGAATTCCTTTATAAAGCAAATACTTATCCTTTATTTTTACCTTTTGTGTAAATATGGAGTTTGCTTAAAGCCAGATTAGCCTGGATCATAGGTTATGTTCACTGGGAATACTGTTACACTTTGAAATTTAGCATCTACTGCTAGAGAGTGAGAGTAGCTTGAACTCTATGTTGCGATACATCGATAAACTGGATCAGTTCCTCCTCTGACTTCCTGTGACTCCCTTGGGTGAGTCGTTTAGTTTGCATATGTCTTAATTTTTAGTTACGGAATAAAGGTAATAACAGTCCTTTCTCATAGAAGCCATTTTCACACAATACTTATGTAAAATGCAGAACGGTTATTAAACGAGGTATAAACATTTCAAGATAATGATGACGATGATGTTTTATTTGGATAGCGCATTTCACTTTCGAGTCTTTTCAGAAGCACCGCTCTCCTCAATGCGTTTGCTGCTTCTCTGAGGCAATCAGAGCAATATCACATCCCTACTTTATACATAACTAGAAGCCCCGATGCAGGAAGATTCGTGCTAGAATGGGCTTTCCTTTCCCTGGCTGCGGGCACCACCTTTCCGCTCAGGCCCCGGAGCCACCCCTTTCTGCTCCGGCCCCGCCTTCCCACACTGCCCAGAGGCCCTGAGAGACCGGGGGTGGGGCAGAATGCCTGCGTTGTTGCCATGTGTCCCGCCCCCTTCACTCAGTGCCTGTGTATGCAAATTAACAGCCATCTTTGTTGGTCTAATTTGCATATAACTCCTGATTGGCTGGTGGTGTAGCAGAGGTACGGTCAATTTACACGTTTGTCTATCGTTAGGTAAGATGTGACTGTTCTACGTCAAACACTGTCCTCCACCAAAAGTCAGTTAAAGAAACACACGTCTTCAGCATCTGTTACTTATTTTCTAGGATGCTCCACCTTCTGGTGGGGGTGGCCGATAAATATCACCCATGGGCTTTGCCATCTCCCATGACATTTAGGGATGAAAATTCCCTGAATGAATGTTCGCCAATTACTCTGTTCACTGTGCACAGTGGGGGACGGGAAGAAAATTATTTAAACAACTATTGCCCACACTGGCCCTGTACATGCCCATACTGGTCATTCCCACACTGGACATAACCACACTGGCCCTCTACCACGGGGGGGGGGGGAGGGGGGGGACCGAGCTTATGGTGCGGTGGAATGAGATAACCCACGTGTGACCATGAGCCTGGTGCCCAGCGCACAGCTAACATTTCCTGGCCAACGGTGCCATGAGCGTGGAACACATGGGTTCAGGTACGTTCAGCTGATGCCCCCAAATCCACATCAAGGGCTTTGTGGAGCATAGCCGGGCGATGTCAGATTCTTTTTATTTTTCTAGTGTTTTTTAAGACTCCGTCCAATCCAGAGGTCATCATTTGTTGTAATGATGCCATAATTAAGTTGTGGTAAATGATAGCATTTGTAGATTTTACAACCAGAATTGATTCATAAAATGAATCCAGTCCCAGCAGTTTATGTTAACATAATTAAATGGAAATTTAATTCTAACTGAGTTTGCTTATTAAATTGAAAATTACTGGGTTGTGAGCACTCTTACATTTCTGTCCAAATTGCTCTAAGTCTAGAATTACATGAACTATCCATTAGATTAAAGCCTATTTCAGGCACCGTGGCTGGCGGCGCATGCATTTCTCACAGCCTGCAGCCTGATCGTGGGGGGACCCCGCGCTTGGGTCAGGTTCCTGCTAACCCCTCTCCTCTCTCCTCCCCAGCCACTGGTTCAGCCCGGGGGCCAGGACCGAGCACGGCCAGGTAAGAACCATTCCAATCCAAAGGAAGCTGCTTAGTCTCCTTCAAATACTTAACTGTTTCTCTTCAGGGCGGTAGATCAGCTTTATGAGAAAAAAAAAAATATATAAGTCTCAGCTTAGGAGGAATTAATTGTGTCCTCGCTTAACACACAGACCACATGAATGAGCCTCAGTGAGCTCTGAGTTCCCCCACTGCCACCTTCCACAGTCACACCTGTGTCCTCCGTGAGCAGACTCTGGGATTCATCTTTGTGTGTTTTTTCAAAGTTAAGGCATCAAATAGTACATATGTTTAAGCAATCTGAGGATATTTAAATGAGATCATCCAGCAAGAAGATATTTTTGTCTTCGCCCTTTAGAAGGTGGCAATAGTTTCCTACACGTGGTATTTCTAGATGTGTGTTTTACGTAATTTCTTATTCGTCCATGTGGCAGTACAATGATCGGCTGACTTAGCCAGAACTTGACATTCCTTTTAGTTAACTTTACACATCAAGTTAATTCTTTGCAGCACACTAAGGTAATTTAGGGTTTTTTTTATGGTTTATAATGCATAGATAACTTAGACTTGGCATCCTGGCCAAGTTTTTTTGTGTTTTTTTTTTCATTATTGATGATAAATTTATTATTTAAGTGGGTCAAAACTATGATATGTAAGGAGTACATGGGAATGATAAACCCCAAATTCACAGAGATTATTTTTCCCTGGGGTTTGGTAAGAAGTAGGGAGGTGGGTAGAGGGGCTGGGCTTGGCAATGATAATTGGAAACATTCCTGTCCAGGCGAGGAAACAGTAACCACAGTATGATGAGAGATACTTGGGACAACCACAGAGGGCGCTGTACACCCTCCACGGGCCACGGAGGGGACCATGCAGCTTACTGAGGCAGAGAACATAGTTCAGAAGTTGCTTAGTTCTCCTGAAGGCTGAGAATACTGAGATGCTGGCTATGAGGAGGCTTGAAGTTATTGTGCAGACATTTGAGGAATTACCTGACGAATGGCTGCCAATATAACCTTCCCCGCTTCCCACCACCAGCTTGAATACATTCTGAATATCAGGTAGTAAATGGAGGTTTGCAGAGGAGTAAGGATTCTGCTCTTGGCTTCTTCCTTTCCTGTTAGGGATTTGACTCTTTCACGAATCTTGCAAAGATATCCTGAGTAACCACAGCAACTCCTCACCCCGTCTATAAGAGTAACAACCATGATCCACAAGGAACATGTCTCTTTCTGGTTTCATGCAACAACTTTTAAAATTGTGTTGATTGCCCAGCCGGTGTGGCCCAGGGTTTGAGAGTTGACCTATGAACCAGGAGGTCACGGTTCGATTCCTAGACATGGCACATGCCCAGGTTGCAGGTTCATCCCCAGCCAATGTTTTTATCTCTCTCTTCCTCTTCCTTCCTCTCTAAAATCAATAAAGATACTTTAAAAATAAATAAATAAAATTGTGTTCCTTTTGTGAACCTCACATTGTACTAGGCTCTGTGCTTATGAATTTTAATGCAATTCTTATGTGAGTCCTTTTTCAATATACACCTGCAGGTCACTAATAAGGAGCTTGTGTCTCCCTTTGGCCTAAGTCCAGCAATCTGAAAGTTGGAAGGTAAGAAGCACTTCGCACCATATTCAGAAATTCTGTTCGTAATCAGAGTTGACACTGTTGAGTCAGAACCTGAAAGGGGACCTCACTTGTGACACGGATAGGCCTTCAAGGAAACAAGACAGTTACCAGGAAGGAGAAGTTTCTCACGGCCAGAATGCACTGCCTAAGCATGCTCACCAGAGCAGAGCTCAAGGATTCTTGTCTCTGATCCTGAAGTTCTGACCAGACACCTCCCCTCCCCCCTCACCCTTCCTTACCCCCATTTTCATTCTATGGGGCGTGGCATATGCCTGCTGGGGCTCTTTCATATACAAATATATGCTTTCTTTTACCTTCTGGCAATACTCTGGGTTAATTTTTTCACCTTGCCCCTTAAAAGATGTAAGTTCCATCTTAATTAGTTATATTCATGACCCAAAGGTCCAAGTCTATATTTTTTTTACCTGAGTTTGATTGTAAATTTGCGGAGTCACACCCAGATTTATAATTTTAGTGATAAAGTGAGAGAGTTTTGTGATGGATGCCTAATACAGGTGCATTGTATTAAATAATTTCAGTATTTGTCCCTTTTTATATTAAAGCCCATGGAAACCATACATGTGAGGAAGGAAAGAAATCCCCATATGAATCTAATAGGAGGAGCCCTAATGCTGGAGTTCATAGGGGTGCTGTTTCTTTAAGTTCCCTAGGGTGGTCCCTCTGAGCACTAGCCAACCCCGTAGCCAAAGCACAATATTTATTTTGGTCATTGTTGTCACATTTTTTAAAAGCTAAACTACAGAATTCTCTTCTTCTCTTAGAATATTATGTTAGGGATTTTGAGTTCTTTGTTTTAACTGTTTTAGCACAAATCACAAGTATAGAGTTCATATATCTGTTTTTTTATCTTAAAATTAGGAAAGTTAACCACTACCATTAATTTAAGGTGGAGGGAGAGATTTCATCATGCCATCTCTAGCTATCTGTGTCACAAATGTTGGTTTGTATATATACACATATATTTTTTAAAAGACACTAGACTTAGAGATGCCAAAGTAATTAACTTTTTTTTTTTAATTTTCAGAAACAATTTCGTTTCTATGGTACGAAGTGTTTCTAAATGGAAACACTTTCAGATTAATGGACTTAAGATAAATGGTTGCTCTTTTCTCTAAGTAGTAAAGGATGAGATTCGGCTTCAGCTACATATCAGATACAGGATCTCCCTCCCTACTTCTTTATCTCATTTATTTATTCATTCAACAAATTTGTATTGAGCAATAAAAAGAATCCAGACATATGGCTGGACCCTGGCAATGCTGGTAGATCAATAACGGAAGCAAAGTGCCAATGGGAAGCAAGAATGTGATCCATTCCCCAAACTAAAATGGCAGGGATATATATTGTAGAAGTAAGGAGGTGAGGTTAGGGCAGTGGTCGGCAAATTGTGGCTCGAGAGCCACATGCGGCTCTTTGGCCCCTTGAGTGTGGCTTTTCCACAAAATACCACGTGCGGGTGTACACGTCCAGTGCAACTGAAATTTCATGGCCCATGCACAGAAGTCTGTTTTTAGCTCTCCAAGGAAATTTCAATTGTTGTACTGTTGATATTTGGCTCTGTTGACTAATGAGTTTGCCGACCACTGGGTTGGGGGGAGGAAGAAGTGTAATAAATGACAGGTCTAGGAATGTAATTGAATCGTGAAGGGTGGCGAATGCCTTGTACAAGAATGTGGGGCTTATCTGGAGAGAAGCTGGAATCAGACATCAGTTTAGAATTCCTGGCTATGGGGGGCAGAATGGATGAGTTGGGGGCAAGGAGGCGCATGGCAGGTTGTTACCAGCGAGAGGAAATAGTTCCTGGACCAGGTTGGTGGTTGTGGGCTGGAAAGAAGTGGATATTTAAGAGAAATTTAATATATACTTATTTAGTGAAGACACTCCCAAAAGAAGGAAAGCTCTAACCGTCCTCTTAGTGATCTAATTAAGGTCCCTACTTTCTGCAAGAGAACCAAATACAGCTCATAACAGATTCTGAATGATGCCGTGGGACAGTGCAAAGCAGTTTTCATGAAAAGTCATTGATGCTGGTCAGACAATGCCCACTGGCAAGCAGGCTCATTAATGACCATCATAATTGTAATTGTTGCATTTGAACCATTTTCTCAGCTTGTCTGTAGTCATAGAGCTACAGGTCTCGCATGGTTTATGTTATTTAACCGAGCAGCCTTCCAGGTAGATATTGCTGTTATCTCCGTTTTGTAGATGGAGACTGGGACTTAGAGAGGTGAGGTCCTCTGCCTTAGGTCAACACAGCCTGTAAATGGCAGGCCTGTCACTGCCACCCGGAGACGAGTGTGTGACAGGCACAGCAGGCATGAGAACCCAGCTCTGCCCTGTGCTATTCCTCCCAAGATTTCTCTTTGTGTTGCTGTTGGTTTCTAACAGGGGTCCAGCTTGCCTTTAGCTGCACAATCATTTCCCGAATAAATCAACTACAGGCTGAGTGAAGCCACAGTAAAGAGAATTGACTTTGTTTGCTTCTTTTTGAATAGTTCAAGTGTGAGAGGGTAGTGGCCTGTGTGGCATTCTGAGATGGCGATCAAGTGTATATTCCTTCTTGTTACCTGTTTTAAAGCCAATAACGTCTTTGAAAACACAACGTTTTCAATGTATTTCCTTGTTAGGCCAATAAATACAGAGATCACATGTCACTTATGTGGGCCTACGTGGCAAAGCCTCAGGAAGGTCCGAGTTTGTGCAGTGGTGGGGGCCGTGGGCAGAGGTTCCCCGACTCCCACCAGGACCACCCCAAGAACGGGGTTGGAACTGGGTCTTAGACCTCTGGCTTTGGGTCCTCAGGGAAGCCCAGATCGCCAGGTCTGAGGGACATTTTTGCAAGAGTCTCCGCGGCATCTCCAGCCACAGAGTAGCCTCTGTTGATGAGAAGCCAGGAGGGAAAAAAGCGATGCAAGCGAAGGAAGGGTTCTCTTTGAATGAGAACACTTTCCTCTCACAGATAATACAACGATCATGTTCCTGCGTCTACAACTTTGTCTTAACTCTTTGGACAGCATCAGCTTCTGAGAGACAACCGAGCCGAGAGAGGACACAAGAAAAACTGCTCTGGGAAGACGGCCAGCAGGTAGGCAGTTCGAAACCACTGCTTGCTCTGATCTCTGACACGCCTATCCTTGTCTGCATGCTAGTGACATGCCATGGTGAGGGGGATTGCTTGCCTTCTGTTCTAAAGAGCTGACGTAAGCTATTTTATTATATGTGTTGTTTATAAGACTATATTTTAGGATTACTAAAATGCCATGAATAGAAGGACGCCATTCTGGGTTTATTTTTAAAAGGTGGTGAAAAACAAAGATTTTAAAAGAAAGGAAAATTTTCTTTCTCCCATAATTAATGAATGTTAGTTTAGGGTTTAGGATAATTATTTCCTTTTTAATTTTCAAAAGGAGAGTTAACTTGTTTCTGAAAATGTAAATGGTACTTAGGCCCCATGAGAAAGCGAAGTGCTTAATTTATTCTTATACTATGTAACTGGGTATATAGAAAATATGTTCTTTTAAAAAGAACATAAGTACTTGCTCGTTTTCTATTACTGAGTCGATGTTCTTTTTTTTTTTTTCCTTTAATGCAAAGAATTTGCCCGTCTATTGCTTTAGGTGCTATAGCTTCAAAGTTTACATGTGGTGATTCTGAAGACTTAATTTTTATTTCGATAAAAATGGCTGTCATAATCTTGAGCAGAACGAGGTAACAGACCTCAGCAGCCACCATTGCATCCCAGGGCTCCCCATGGCTCGTGTGTTAGCCACTCAGTTCAGATCCCCACGCAGGCACCATTGCTTTCAAGTACCATGTTATACCAGCTCACTCAACTGAGAACCCCATAGATACCCGCCATTCTGTTTTACAGACCTAACCCTTCAACAGCAAACGGAAATTGGACATCATGGACAGTCAACATAAAACCGATATATTTATCCCCAGGAATATCAGATTCTTTTGCTCTGCATTCACCTCATTAGAAACTACAATTAAATAATTTCACCTCGTGTCTCAGGTCCTAACCTCTGCTTAGACCAGAACGCTCAGGGTGGCCTTCCCAATTGAAAGTCAGCACCACCTGTACTGAGCGATGCCCAATACTAGGCGGTGTAATGTTCATAACACATTTTAATGTTTAGTCTCTAATCACTAGCCTGTATTGTTCTAAGAATCCATACAAAAAGACTGATAGTTCAAAGCAATTGTGCTGAATTACTTAGATTACGTTAGGGTCTTTCCTTCTGTGTTGGGTTTTGTTTGTGGGGTGTATTTCTTTTGGGGGGCGGGGGAAAGGTTTGCCCTTTTTCCTTGCTTACATGATTTTTGCCATTTACCATTGTGAAGCACCAGAGGCTAAATCATCTTAATAGCCTGGTACATAAGATGAAATCAAATAAAAACATGTTTATATTTTTATTGCCATTATTATTAACTTTTACTAAACATTTTAAAATGCCTTTAAAGCCTGTGTTCATTCATTTTACTTTGATCTTACGAGTATTACATTTTTCATCTACTTAGTGTGAAGAGTTGATAATCCCTGGAGTTATGTGTGCTATAATTTCTTATAAATATGCTTTTTTTTTTTTTTGCCATCATCATGTCTGATTAATAGTGAAAAGTCTTCTAAAATGTTTAAAATGACAATAGATTTCATCAGAGAACCAAAACAAATGCCATCACATTCACACCTTCTTACACATACATTCACACACCCTCATAGACATTCACTCAACACATTCACACACAGTCTCACAGTCACAATCCCCCCCCCACACACACACACACACACACACTCAGTTTGGACAGAACATTTCTGTTCACACTGACACAGCTCGCTCATTTCCATATGATGCCACACATTGCTGTATTCCGTTGCAGATGTAACAAATACAATTACAGCTGTTCTTTATTTGATTTTCCAAAGATCCAGAGATGCTGGCGGATTCAGTTTGCTCTGTGCTCCCCATAGACTCATCTGTTATTTGAGAAGGAGACCTAATTTGCAACAGATACAAAACTATTTGTCATTTTGCAGCTTTGCCAAAAATAAATGAAACTATTAATTACTACATTTTTGAGCAGCTGCTAATAAATTGGGAGAGGATAACTGTTCATTAGAGTGCTGGTTAATGACATGGAGGAATGCTTTTCAGAGACGTACATCCACAAAAGTAATTGCTGCATTATTTCTATTATTTAAGAGGAGAAGTTAACTATCCTGTGTTAATAAATTTAGTATTTTTAACAGATCCTTCTTTGTTGTACTAAAACTAATGATCCAACACCATATTTTAAAGCAAAAATATAGCATCAACTTTATATATTTTGTGTATTTTATGTTTATATGTCCAAAATAATTGCTTGAACCTGCTTTTAAATACTAATTTTAAAAATAAAATTTTTAAATTTTATTTATCACATCTATAAATACTTTATCATTGTTTCTTTTCAGATCTAAAATTGGCATTACATTTCATTGTTCTACAAAAGTTTACCCAGTCCTTCAGATAGAAAAGCATATTTTAAATTATTTTAATTCGTCCATATGTATGCATGAGTGAACAAATAGAAAGTCACATACTCCCGCTAATTAGAATGTATACATTCCATATTTTTTTAATTGGAACACATTTAATTGCATGTGTTCTAATTTTTTAAAAAATTTGAATAGCCTCTAGGTGTAGAGGTACTTAGACTAGAATAATTGGACACATACCACATATACAACATCAAATGGTTTCGAAGGCATTTAATTCATCTGTTTGACGCTGGATGACCAAATTATCGTTGCAAGAGGGCATATTCTCCCACTGCGGGCTCTCAGGCCTGCTGTCCGTTTGGCATCCTGAAACCCTAACCTCCCCTGCCGGAACTTTAAACTGATGATTATAGACTTATTTTACATTGTGATTACACTAAATAAAATTAGTTATTAGCCCATTAGAATTCTGCGAGTTTGCCTTCCCTGTGATAGGAATAGCCCATACGGAAAGGGGGGGAAGGTGGGTTTGCCATTTGAAAACATGTCACGTGTCCAGAGTGTGGTAAATGAAAGAGCAATGGAGCACCCCCGGGGGAGGCGCACTTTCCTGAGATCTGGCAGATGAACTCGGCTTTTTCAAATGACTAACGGCGCACAGCTGGGCCCCTCCAGAACAGCAGTTGCATTTGGCCATCGTCGCTAATATCAAACATAGTCAGCATCTGAAAGGTGTTCCTGTGACCCAAGTTGCCATAGACGTGTTGCCTGAAGCCCATCTCCTTTAGGACAGGTGTCTGTCCCGTGGTTGGCATGCTCTGAATTGGTGCTGTGATTAAACGGGTGTGGGCACAGGGAGGTCACCTTTCACGCCCCGGGTTGGGTCCCCTGGATGCCAGGAGGTGCACCTGCAGAGCCGGGCACAGCAGCTTGTGGCCCTGCCGCTGCCAGGGTATAACCTCATTACGGGACGTCTGGGGCCCTGTTCGTCCAGTGGGCATGCGTGCGTACCAAATACTCCCCCAAACAGCGAGGCTTCTAATCTATTAGTAAAGGAATCCCTGTAAAAATTAATAGTTTAAATCGGCCACTCAATAAGCAGCAGCTGCTACCTGACGGTCTGAACCTGAAGGAAGCTCATCCGCCACACTGTAGACACTTCCGACTTAAATAGAACCTTATGTATCTGGAGAGCGGATCACATCACTCCTGGACTCAGAGGTGTGTAACTGCTCATAATATATAACAAGAGCCATCCTGCAAACTAAAGAGTTTAACACATAAGTGTAACTAGAACATTTTAATGTTATAGTTCATAATTGAAAAAAATTTCAAATATTAAAACTTTTAATTGTCACTTCTTTTAGCTCAATTTCATTATTTTTCAATTCGGAGACAATTTAAAACTAAACTTAAAAAAATCACAAAAGGAATGTCCCAGGGAGTTAAGAATATGTTTTGAAAAGAATCCATTTTTTATGATCAATATTTTCTTGTCCTTTCTCGTTAGCAACATGTTTTCGTCAACCTGTAGTGATCTGTTTGTATACCAAGGTATTGTTGGGAATTTACTTTTGTTTATTTCATATACTTCTGATCAATTCCAGCTCATGCCCAATTATATTACTCTAAATTAACATAATTCAACAGATGTTGATATTTAAATGTTTTCTGGCATTCACATCTTGGACAGCTGTCTTTGAGCTTGGGGAGAAGGCAAACATTTAGAGTTAAATGCTCAACATATGCTTAAATTACTAATTAGAAAGATGGAATAAAAACTATGCATTATCCTTTCTAAGGACAATAAAGCTCAGATAGGGATTTCTGTAATCTTTTTACATCAAGTTATAGTCCAGGGTATCTATGGCCCAGAAGGGGTAGACTTCATGGGTAACTTAATTTCAGTTCTCATCATTCAAAAATTACTGAGAGTCTCAGTAAGACTTGAAAAACCTATAATGACTTTATATTTTCACTTATGATGTCAGGATGATAAAAGCCATTTTAAACAATGTTATTGTTAAATTTTTTTATCATGCAGAAATAGAGAAAAATAGAAACTCAACGGGTACATCCCTGGCTTAGATAATATTTATCAATGTGTGGCCACTGTTGATTCATTTATATCCCTATCCACTCCTTCCTCTAACCCCGAAGCCCATCTATTGTTTCAATTGAAAATTGAAATATATTAATATGTTCCATAAAAAATAGCAACCTCTTTAAAAAAAAACTAAAAGAAGCCACAGTATCATTATCACACCTATGAAAGAAAGCAATAATTGCAATTAATGTCTTCATGTTTATGAATATACACTGAGTGGCCAGATTAGTATGATCTCTGAACGCATAATAATGTGGCCACTCAGTGTATTTGTGTATCAAATGGGTACCAAAAGTATTCTAGACTCTAGGAGATCAATCAACTATTTGCCCTGAGCTATCAGCCAGTGCAAGGGGAAAAACTGATCAGGTGCATGATTTATAGTATCTTTAATATCGAATGAATGAGGTACTCAAGAGAAGTACACCGAGTAGCCAGATTATTATGCGTTCAGATAGCATAATAATCTGGCCACTCAGTGTATATGTACATA